TGTGCCCACCCATGTGCAGTGCCCGCCCATGTGCAGCCCATGTAGGAGCCACTGCTCCAGAGACGACATTCTGTGCTCCATGAAACGAAGAACATGTGGCTGGTTAGGGAATGGGACGCCTCAGTGAGTGAACTGATCTGATTGGGACAGTTCACAAATTCCTCACAAATTTCTATTTTTTGAAAAACCAAAACAGAACAAGCTATTATCTGTCCCCAAGAAAAAGGAGAACAGCTTCCAGCACGCCACCCCGGGTCCTCTGGAAAATGTCTTATCTGGGCCTCAGTTTCCCATTTGTGAGAGGCTCATGTTGGAGTAGATTAGAGGTTTCCAGAAAGCATTTTGCAGCGGGACTGTGTTCTAATACCCTTTGAAGTCAACTGAGTAAGTAAGGCAGACACTGGAGCAGGAACTGTTTGAAATGGGGAAGAAAGTTCTCACTTCCCTGCCCCATCCCACTGCGAGCTCCCTAACCCCAAGACCTCCTTCAGGGTCTTCCTCCAAGGATGGTTAAGTGAAGCCCCAATCCGCCGCCTACCAGCCATGTGGCTTTGGGCCAGTTACTTACCCCCTGTGTTCCCAGTTTCCTCATCCGTGGCATGATAATCAGAACAAACCCCTCTTGGGGTTGTGTAAACTGGCACTCCGTGCTCAGTAATGCTTGTGACGATGCTGTTTGCATGGGAAGAGAATTCTAAGCTGCCATCAGTGGCCCATCTTTAGTGATGTTCCAGACTCAGCTGAGTAATGGGATGTAAGAGGCCTGCCTGTCTCTCCTGTTCTCTGGTCTGCCTGCTGCTCGTATCTGTCACCTGAAGACAAAGGCTCGGAATGATACAGGTGTCCAGCAGATCACTGTGACGATTCTGAATGGGTGTGCATATCAGGCTGCAGATCCACCTGGGATGTCTGGTGAGGGTCCCCTGAGGATCTGCACCTTCCGGGTTGCCCAGTCAGGCCTGTGGCACTCCTGAACCTGGTATCCAGTGACACATCAAAGCGGCAGAGGCACCAGGCCAGAGGAGACAGCTAGGACACACCCCCAGACCCTAAAACACCTTCAGGCTAAGGGCTCTAGGGGAGCAAGTCAAAACAATTGGGGTATTACTATCAAAGAGGGGCCATCCCCCTTAACCCACTAGCATGGCAAAGCAAAAAGACAGAAAACTGCAAGTGTGGGGGTTTGGGGGGGTGACGTGGAGAAGTTGGAACCTGGGGGTGAAGTAAAAACCGATGCAGCCTCTGTAGCAGTTCATCAGCCCTTGAGAAACTAAGTCTCAAATGCTACTTGCTCCAGCAGTGGGTCCAGCACACACACACACACACACACACACACACACACACAAACACACACAGTCATAGCAGGGTTATCCACAGTCACCAAAAGGTGAACACCACCCGAATGTCCACTGACAGACGAGTGGATAAACAGTGCTGCATCTGTCAAGTGGAACACTACTCAGTCTCAAAAAGGAGTGGGGATGCTGACACACACGGTGATGTGGATGAGCCTGAGGATATCAAGCTCAGTGAATCCACGTGTGGTAGGGTTTGCTTAGGTGAGTTGCCTTGCAACACTCGTATCAGAGAGACAGTAAAAGGGCAGCTTCATGGTCTGGGGGCAGCTGGGGGGTGTGAAAGTGGTGTGGGGAGGGAGGGATATTGGGGTGGTTGTGCAACACTGTGAGTGTACTTACTACTGCTCATGGAATGTTTAAAATGCCTAAGATGGGGCTGGGGAGATGGGTCTGTCAGGAAGGTGTTGGCTTTACAAGCATGAGGACCCAAGTTTATCCCCAAATCCACATAAAAAGCTGGGTGCAGTGGTGCACGCTTGTGATTCTAGTGTTGGGGAGGTGGAAACAAACCAACCCCCGGGACTCCCAGGCCAGTTAGAGACCCTGTCTCAAAAGACAAGGTGGGCAGTGCCTGGGAATTATACCTAAGGTTGACCTGGTGCACTGTAACCCATCACACAAACACACACAAAGGTCGGGGCTGGAGAGATGGCTCAGCAGCTAAGAGCACTGACTGCTCTTGCAGAGGACCAGGGTTTGATTCCCAGTACCTGCATGGCTGCTAAGAACCATCTGTGGCTCCAGTTCCAGGGGATCTAATGCCCTCTTCTTCTGACCTCCTCAGGCATTGCACGACATGGCTACACTGACATACATGTAGGCAATACACTCACACACATAAAATAAAAATAAAATATTAAAAAATAAATAAAATGTCCAAGAAGATAAAAGTTATAGGGTGTGTATTTTGCTACATTAGAAAATCAAAGCAGTAAACATGCCACAGCGAGACTGGGGGAAACATGAGCCCCAGTTTTACTGTAGGTTTCAGTGCCTACAGGAGATGTCCATAAAACACAGGGAGGAGACAGCCCCAAAGAGACACTGGCTTTGGACTTGCAGCTGCCAGGATGTAAGAAGCAAGCTTTGAGGGCGACCACTTGGGCTACGGGAGCCCTCATGAACCAGCCAACTCTGGTTTCCATCCTCAGAGTGCCCTTGAGTTCTCCAAACAGCCTTGCAGTGGAGGTGTGTCACCACTGTTGACACACAAGGACACGAGGCTTAGAGAAACTAAGTCACTTCCCCAAAGCCACACCCCTGGAAGGTGCCACCCTCCTCTCCAGGCACTGGACAAACCCGTGTTCAAGTTTCAGAGTTCTGCTCAAGATGGGAAGCTGTAAAGAGCTGAACAGAGTGCAGTGGTAGAACATGAAGCCCTGATGGGGCCACAGAGGACGGTGGGATGCAGCACCCCAGAGTCTACAGATCAGGGTGCTGAGGCCTGCACTGTGGCTAAAGCAGTGCTGATGTGAACAGGCATTCCTGAACAGTCCCACCAAGACAGGCTTCAACGTAAATGCTTCACACTTGTGCACAGTCATCTCCCAACTTCACCGTGCACCCAGGGTATGGGAGTGTCACTGAGCCTGTTTCACAGATCAGAAAACTGAGGCTCAGCGGTGCGAAGCATTATTCATCATACCACATTCTGGGAGGGAAGTGCTTGGACTTGAACTTGGGTCCGTGTCACCCCGGGAGACTTGCTGCTATTCATTTGGTAGGTATGTCCTGACTCTGGGAATACAAGGCAAGCACAGACTCCATCACAAGCAAGAAAGGTTCTGGGGTCCCAGCCCAGGCTGTGCTCCTCACCAGAGCTCTGGGGAACGGACAGCAGTCATATGACCAGATGTCTCAGGCACAGGCCCCTTGCCAGTACCCTCACATGGGCTTTGCTGCGGCTGGGTGCTCCATAGTTCCCAATAACATTTCCTTCCTCTGCAAGACACATTCCCTGGCAACTGGTGATTCTGCCATTTGTATTTTCTCTGCTTCTCTCTCTCCTTATGTATCTCTGCCCACGCTAATGCTCCCCCTTCTGGCTGGGAAGTGGAAGACTGGTATAAACTTTGAACCAGAACGCACTAGGGACCTGTTTCAGCGTAGACCCCTGCAGGGACAGTGTGCCTCTAGTGGAGAAAACGCACCCTGGGCTTTTACTTTGGGCTCACCTGCCAAGTGAAAGAGGAGGGCCTCGGCTTTGCCCGAGAGGGAGCTGGACTTCTATTGTTCCTCTGTGTTCCCAGTGTCACCTCTCCACCAGAGCTGGGACAAACCACAGCATTCACACAGCCCCCGCAAGGAACACAGAGCCAGCTCTCCCAGGGAAGGCTATTTCCAAGCACCTCATGCAGCTTGGGCCCCACAGATCTGAATCCTGGGTGGTCATAAAGGCCAGCTGGAGACATTTAAAGCACGCAGCTACAGGCTCAGGAAATGGCTTGATGCTAAAAAGTACTTGCTCTGCAAGCATTCACACCCGAGTTTGAATCCCCAGCACCCACCCAGGTATAAAAAGCAAGGGTGTGCATGCCTGTTACGTCAGCATCAGCGTGGGGACAGGGGAGGGTAAAGACAAGCAGATTACAAGACATCAGGAGATTTGGGGGACAGGAAAACTATCCTGTATAATTTGGGCTTGATTGATCCATATCCTTGTGCTTCTACAGGACAGAGCACGCCCCAAGCAGAGAGTAAACCCTAGTGTAAAGCTTGTCAGTGCTAGCCAGTCAGCAGGAGTAAGTGTCCACCATCGCATGATGGGTTTGTGGGGACAATAGACTTTCTGCTTATTTCCCTACGAACCTAAATTACTCCCCGCGAAGCCTATTATAAACAAAACACGGTAAGTGGGAGATCATGACTAGCGGGAGCCTTCATAACATTGATGCCCGGTTTCATGGATCCTGCTCTATGCACCTGGCCTGGGGGAATTCAGGGCCCAGGGTTCTTGTTCCCTTGAAGCGCTTGGTCCGGGATCCTGGGTTTGTGTGGTGAGGGTGCCACCTGCTGGCCTGAAAGGCAGGGTCAGCTGTGTCTGCTCAGAAACTTGGCCCTCCAGCTCCCTCATGGTGCACCTCATACGCCCATCTTGTTTGTCATGTCCAGTCGTGTCACCAGTAATAACCTTGGAAAAGATCAAACTCTCATGATTTTATTACAGAAAAGTCCCGAAGTTCTGGGCACAGTCCAGGCCAGAGCTACCTGGAGGTCCCAGCTCCGGAGCAGCAGACAGGGAGTGGCTTGCTGTTGAGGCTCTGAGGATGAGGGAGGTGAGAACTTCGGTCACCTGCAACCAGCCGCTTTTGGGGTTATGGCAGCATTACACAGTGACAGTTGATAACAGTTCATCAGAGTCTGTGCTTGGCCACAGCTGGAGTTAAATACGAATACAGTCCTTCCCTGTTCTAACATGAGAAACGGGAAGCACAGAGAGGCTGAGAAACTTGCCCAAAGGCACACAGCCAGTGAAGGGTGGACTATGATTCCCCTCTTCCTGGAGAGTCCACACCCCACCTGAGAAGTGGGTACCATTCCATCCTGACCATACAGCTGTGTGGACTGGAAGAAGAGCCAGAGGTGAATGTGTGAGCTCAAAGCCGGGAGGCTCAGGTGAGGAGCCTGCAGTGCCAGTGGTGGCTAGGGCTGCAGCTCATACTGGCCCTCGGTGGCTGTGTAGAAGTCCTCTAGCACTGACTGCAGAAACTCAAAGGTGGGCCGCTCTTCTGGCCGGCTTTGCCAGCACTCGGTGATGATGTCACGGTACAGCTCTGGTGGGCACGTGTCTGGGCATGGCATTCGGTAACCACGCTCCAGACTGTGGATAACTTCAGGGTTGTTCATTCCTGTAGGAGGGAGGACAGGGTGTATCAGGGCAGGGGGTGCCCAAGGGATGCTATCACTGACCCTGGAGACTCTAGAATAACACCAGGACGGGAGAGAGAAGCCCCTGACAGGCAGGTCACATGGCTGCTGGGATGGTACCACTTTGTTTTTGAGACAGGGTCTCCTTATATAGCCATGGTTAACCTTGAACCCAAGATCCTTCTGTCTCAGCCTCCCAAGTGCTGGAATTACAGGTGTGTGCCACGATGCTTGGCTGGTGGGGGTGGGGACACTTTTAAACACAGCCTTTACTTTATATTATTTGGATAACAGTTGGAATGAGGCTGTGGACTTCCTCTAGGATGTGACCCCTTCAGATAGTACTGAGATGCTTTGGGAAACACATACCAGCCCCTGCTGCCTAGATCCTCCTGGCATGGGTGGCAGACCATGTCCTGTACCCCAGGATGGGGCTTTGGAGAGCCCACCCCTAGGCATGAGGTCAAGGCAGGCAAGTCTGGCCTCAACCTACAACAAGCCATCCCTAGTGAACTTGAGCTCAGACCCGACTTGCTGCTGAGCTCTGCAGGAGGAAGGGATGAAGCCCTGTGGCTCAGAGCAATGATGAGGAGGAGGCAGAGGCTGGCAACCAGAATGCAAGTCTGGGCCTTGGTCTTTGAGACAAAACCCTGCCCTAGCCAGAACAGGCACTGATCATGGGGTGTCACCATCAAGGTGTCTCGGGAATGCACAGAGCATGCTATGGGTTCAGGGCTGTGCCTACCTGGGTAGGGCACACGCCCATAGGTGATGATCTCCATCAGCAGAACTCCAAAGGACCACACATCCGCCTTGATGGTGAACACCCCGAAATGTATGGCCTCAGGGGCAGTCCACTTGATGGGGAACTTGGCCCCTGTCAGAAAAACACAGCAGCTCCACGGGTTGCCGACCCTCCACCCTCATCCCAGCAGCCCCAGCCCCTTCCTGCCTGTCTCCATGGGGGTGGGGGGACTGCAGGGCATGGCCACTGGGTACACAAGGATATGGGTGTGTACAACCACTCATCACCATCCTAAGGAGTCCTTAAAAAGAGTTAGGGTACTCTATGGGTCACCTATAAGTGTTTCTATCTTTGCTGCTGTTGTTGTTTGTTTCATTTTGATTTTCTGGAGACAGGGACTTGTATCCCAAACTGACCTTGAACTTGATATGTAGCCAAGGATAACCTTGAACTCTTGGTCTCCAGGTCACAACCTCCCAAGTGTCGGGATTACAAGTGCACACTGCCACACCTCTTTATATAGTGCTAGAGACAGACCCACTCTACCAACTGAGCTATGTTCCCAGCCCTGCTGCATTTCCATCAGTGATGGAAGGGCTCTTTCCCCTCTCACATGGGTCTCGTTTAATGACAGAGACCACGGTATGGACTAGCCACTATAACAGACTCATGCCTCAGTCAGTCATTTGCTGCCAAAGGAAAACGTGCATGCACTCTGAGAGCACTGACTGGAAGGGTGGCAGAGCCTGCTGCTGCTGGTGGAGCCTGTGAACACTGCAGCCCTGTCCAGCACTCAGAGCTTACTGCAGGCTCAGCACTGCTCACCTCCCCTAGCCGTTTTCTCACTCCCAGGAGCCAGCCTGAAGTCCCCCAGGAGAGGTACAGTTTTCCAAGTCATGGTTCCTCCCCTGCTTAGAACACCTAGAACACTTGCTTACTAAGTGTACTCAAGTCCTACTGCAAAGTCAACTTTTCCTCATTCGTATCAACAGATTAAGGGTCCACAGCAACCCTAATTCATATGAGAGTTGATGGCTTATACTTTAGTTACAGCCATGTTTTCCAAAGTGTGTTCCATCAAGCCCTCCTTCCACAGGAGGTTAGTTAGTAAGAGGCTCAAACTAGTCTGGGAATGAGCAGGCAAAGCAAAGAACAAAGTGGAGCTATGGTGCAGGACTGCCCAGTGCTTTTATAAATGCATGTGTACCGGGGTCTCCAAGATGGACAGGGAGATAGCTCTGTGTCCCAAAGCCGTTTTGCATGAAGAGTTTCAACGTGGTCCTATCCCACAACCTCTCTCTCTCTCTCTCTCTCTCTCTCTCTCTCTCTCTCTCTCTTTTTCTCTCTCTCTCTCTCTCTCTCTCACACACACACACAAACACACACACACACACACACACACACACACACTATTCAAAACAGACACACACTGGTGGGGCGTTGTGTAATTTTGCAGCATAAGGTTTCAGATACCAGGATGTTGGCTGCCCGCAAGTCACGGTGGATGGAATTCATACGCTCGATGTAAGCCATTCCTTCAGCAATCTGAGGACACAGGTCACATGGTGAAGGACAGCAAGGATGGAGCCTCTGACTCGGGTCCTGAGCACTGGCTGGGATTCCAAGGCCAGGAGGAGTTCAAGGCACTCTGGGCAGGACAGGTGTGGCTGCAGATTAGGATGTGTGAGGTGTGGCTGGAGGGGGTCACATAGAGAGGGTCAGTGCTGGCATCATGCTTCATCCCATAGAATAGGAAAAGGAGAGCTTGGGGCTGCTGAGTTTGTGTGTATGCATGTATACAGATGTGTGATTGTGCGTAAGTGTGTGTGTGTGTGTGTGGTATATATGGTGTGTGGTATGTTGTATGTAGCATGTATGGTGTGTGTGGTGTGTATGTGGTATGTGTGAGTGATGTGTGAGTGGTGTGTATATTATGAGTGGCTGAGTTTGTGTGGATGCATGTATACAGATGTGTGATTGTGCGTAAGTGTGTGTGTGTGTGTGGTATATATGGTGTGTGTGGTATGTTGTATGTAGCATGTATGGTGTGTGTGGTGTGTATGTGGTATGTGTGAGTGATGTGTGAGTGGTGTGTATATTATGAGTGGCCTGTGTGGTGTGTGTGGTATATATGGTGTGTATGGTTTGTGTGGTGTATGTGTGATGTGTATGGTTTGTGTGGTGTATGTGTGATGTGTATGGTTTGTGTGGTATGTGTGTGTGTATGATATGTGTACATGGTATGGTGGAGAGGTATGTGTGGTGTATATGATTTGTATGTGATGTGTGTGTGAGTGGTGTATGAGTAGTGTATGTATGTGATGTGTGCATGTGAGTGTTATGTGTGTGGTGTGGGGTGTGTATATGTGTGTGTGCTGTGAGTGGTGCATGATTGCTATGTGGCGTGTGTGTGTGTGTGTGTGTGTGTGTGTGTGTGTGTGTGACTGGAATGTAGTTTAGAGGCTTCTCATCCAGGAAGTTCTGGCTTTCTGGTTCCTTAGCTGTCGCAACTCCTGTCCCCTCCTCCTGTCCCCTCCTCCTGTCCCCTCCTCCTGTCCCCTCTTCCTGTCCCCTCCTCCTGTCCCCTCTTCCTGTCCCCTCCTCCTGTCCCTTACTGTTTGTTCCCAGTAAGGAGCTGAACTCAGAAGGCTTTTCACAGCCTGTGCCCAGGTGCCCTAAGGTTTCGGGGTCGGGGAGCAGTGGGGTTAAAATAGACCAGGCAGGGTGAGAGAAGGAGAGGGAGACACGGAGCGACACTTATCACTGTGGGTGCTTCAAAGCTAGTCACCAGAGTTCTGCAACCACCTTGCCAGCTGCCTCAACAGGTCTCTGCTCACCTCAGTGGAAAAAGGCAGTGACCTCAGTTCCTGTGTTGATGCCAGCTGAAGAGAATACCGGACAGCATGGGAGGCCAGGTTGAAGTGTGGGTGAGGAGGCTCCCTCCCCTTTACAGCTCTGTGTGCATGGATGTGAGTGTGTGTGTGTCAGAGGCTGACCACAGACCACAGCTTTCTTGCTGAGAGTTCCAGTTTTAACAGACACACACAGAGACACCAGATGTGTCTTCCTGCCAGTTAGAACCTCAGCTAAAATCCCCAGGGGAGACCAAACCCTCCTCTTGATTCTGTTCTCCCCTCACAGAGCCTGGAAAGTTCTATACATAAACCCAAAGGAAACCAAAGACTGGTCCAGGGCAGCTGAGGTCTGGCACTGGAAATTCCCTGACAGCAGAAGAGAGAGAGAGAGAGAGAGAGAGAGAGAGAGAGAGAGAGAGAGAGAGCCGAAAACAATGTGCTTAGCACTCCATGTGACTCACGCCTGCCCAGCAGGGGGCCAATCCCAGGGCTGCACAAGACTTAGGGATCATGGGACAGTATCTGGAGCATACCTGCCCACTGGCCTAGCAAAATTCTTGCCTGTTCTCTGGCTTTCCAGCACCCATTTCCCCCCCTCTCCCTTCCTCATCCCATCCCAGCTACCCAGAATTGGAACTACGTTTCCCAGGCTCCCTTGCAGCCAGGTGTGGCAATGAAACAAGGAGCCTGGGAGGGGTGGGAAGGGATGGAAGAGCAAACAGTGGACAGCAGTAGGGACAACCCTTGAGGGAAA